GTGATCCTGTACGGCTGTGTGACCGAGTGAGCAGTGATCCTGTACAGTTGACTGCGTCTGCTGTTTGGGTTCAAGTATCTCTGGGCATCTGAGTTAGTTCTAAGAAAAATAAACAACCAGTGAAAATCACCGCTGACCATGGAGAAACCTGTGAGGGGGAGCTGGTTTGTACGGTGTAACCTTAGTATTTCTTTCTATAAATCTACAAGTGTGAGTACAGTGGGATTTCTTATGTTTTATTGAGATCTGTCTCTTGATTAAACTTTAAAAACAGATACTAAGTTAGCCTGGAGCAGTGTTTTTAGAGCAGTAATACTGTGCTATTTTCTGGGTCTGTAGATAGTTAAGTTGTAATGGTGGCCTTTACAGCAGTGATGTACTCTTCCTGTCGGATGTGGGAGATTAGGGAGTCTTAGTGTTACTGATGATTATGTCTGCAGGAACTATGTTTGGTTGCAAATCCTATTAGATCGCATGGAGCCATTGGAGTGACACTGACAGACAATGAGGAATTTACAGGAGCCAGGGGTTGACATTTTCAGAAAGAGAGAAAAACCGCAATATAGCCAGGCAGATGGGTTACCTCCAGGAAAGGTAGGAGTGGGAGGTAGGTAGTACAGGAGTCTTCTGTGGCTATCCCCATCTCAAACCAATATGCTGTTTTGGAACATATAGGGGTGATGGACCCTCAGGGGAATGTAGCAGGGACAGCCAGGTTTCTGATACGAGACTGGCTCTAATATAATGAGGGTACGTCAGGTTCCAAGTGATTAACTGTGATAGGGGAGTCACTAGTCAGAAGCACAGACCAGATGTTTCAGCGGCTGACAGCAAGACATCAGAATGGTGTGTTCTGTCTCTCGTACATGGATCAAGGATATTTTGGACAAGGTGCAGAATATTCTCAAATGGGAGAGGGACTAGCTGGAAGTCATTGTACACATTGGAACTAACAGCATAGGAAGAGAAATGGACAAGGTTCTGAGGGGAAAAGTTATGAAATTAGACAAGAATTTAAAAAGTAGGTCCTGAAGGATAGTAGTCTCTGGATTACTGCCGGTGCCACGAGCTAGTGAGAGTTGGAATCTGAGGATAGAGCAGATGAGTGCATAACCGAGGAGCTCATGCAAGGGAAAAGGATTCACATTGTTGGATCATTGGAATCTCTTCTGGGGTGGAAGGGATCTGTATATGAGGGATGGATTGCACCTGAATTGGAAGGGGAATAATATACTGGTGGGGAGACTTGCTTGAGCTGCGCGGGTTGGGGGGATTGTGGGGTGGGCAGGGGCAAGAGAGGAGGGGCAGTGTTGTTTTTGGTTAGGGATAACACTATAGCTGTACTTAGGGAGGATATTCATGGGAGTATGTCCAGGGAAGTTATTTGGTGGAACTGAAGAATAAGAAAGGGATGATCACCTTTATTGGGATTGATGTGGAGGTGCTGGTGTTCGACTGGGGTGGACAATGTCAAAAATCACATGACACCAGGTTATAGTCCAATGGGTTTATTTGAAGACACAAGCTTTCAGAGTCTCACTCCTTCTTCAGGTGTCAGTGAGAGAGGTGCATCAGACACAGAATGTATAAGCGAAAGATCAAAGGGTCATTGAACTGATGCAGTGTTGAACAAACTTGAAATGGCTGTTAATCCTTTAATCAGTTAGAAAGGATTAATATGCAAAATCCTGAATTTCTTTCAAGTCAGTGCCCTGAGATAACTAAAGGGTTTATCAGTTCCTTCAGTATACCAGAGGTGACATCCCAGGTCAGACAATGCATTTTAGGTATGAGGACTTGTTTAGAATCTGGTTGTATATCGACTTGGAGACAGACTGGTTTTATTTCCAAAGTAGAAAGTTATAAAACGCCACATTGACTGTCTACAAGTTGTGCACTTTTTGAGCAAAATTGAATGTATCTGCAATTACAAATCTATAATACAAATTCACCACATAGATGTATATCTGTGCGTGCGCGCGCGTGTGTGTGCGTGCTCGTGTGTTTATATTTGACGACACAAGCCGTACTGGGATTGCACTATAGGCCTCCCAGTAATCAGCAGGAAATTAGAAACAAATTGGTAAGGAGATTTCAGTTATCTGTAAGAATAATAGGGTGGTTATGGTAGGGGATTTTAAATTTTGAAACATAGACAGGAACTGCCAAAGTGTTTGCGCCTTGGATGGAGAGGAATTTGTTAAGTGTGTACAAGAATTTTTTCTGATTCAGTATGTGGATGTACCTACTGGAGAAGGAGCAAAACTTTACCTATTCCTGGGAAATAAGGCAGGGCAGGTGACTGAGGTGTCAGTGGGGGAGCACTTTGGGGCCAGTGACCATAATTCTGTTAGCTTTAAAATAGTGATGGAGGAGGATAGACCGGATCGAAAAGTTAAAGTTCTAAATTGGAGGAAGGCCAATTTTGACATTATTAGGCAAGAACTTTCAAAAGTTGATTGGGGGTGGATTTTCACAGGTAAAGGGACAGCTGGAAAATGGGAAGCCTTCAAAAAATGAGATAACGAGAGTCCAGAAACAGTATGTTCCTGTTAGTGTGAAGGGCAAGGCTGGTAGGTGTAGGGAATGCTGGATGACTAGAGAAATTGAGGTTTTGGTCAAGAAAAAGAAAGAAGCAAATGTTAGGTATATACAGCAGGGATTGAGTGAATCCTTAGTAGAATATAAGAGCAGTAGGAGTATACTTAAAAGGGAAATCAGGAGGGCAAAAAGGAGACATGAAATAGCTTTGGCAAATAGGGTAATGAGAATCCAAAGAGATTCTACAAATACACTAAGGTCAAAAGGGTAACTAGGGAGAGAATAGGGCCCCTTAAAGATCAGCAAGGCTGCCTATGTGTGGAACTGCAGGAGATGGGAGAGATACTAAACAAGTATTTTGCATCAGTGTTAATTTTGGAGAAGGATATGAAAGATAGAGAACTTGGAGAAATACATAGTGATTTCTTGAAAAATGTCCATATTGCAGAGGAGGAGGTGCTGAACGTCTTAAAACGCATAAAGGTGGATAAATCCCCAGGACCTGATCAGGTGTACCCTAGAACTCTGTGGGAAGCTAGGGAAGTGATTGCCGGGCCCCTTGCTGAGATATTTGTATCATTGATAGCCGCAGGTGAGGTGCCGGAAGACTAGAGGTTGGCTAATATGGTGCCACTATTTAAGAAAGATGGTCAGGAAAAGCCAGGGAACTATAGACTGGTGAGCCTGACATCAGTGGTGGGCAAGTTGTTGGAGGGGATCCTGAGGGACAGGATTTACATGTATTTGGAAAGGCAAGGATTGATTAGGGATAGTCAGCATGGCTTTTTGAGTGGGAAATCAAGTCTCATTAACTTGATTGAGTTTTTTGAAGAAGTAACAAAGAGAATTGATGAGGGCAGAGCGGTGGATGTGATCTATATGGACTTCAGTAAGGTGTTCGACCAGGTTCCTTATGGTAGACTGTTGAGCAAGGTTAGATCACACGGAATACAGGGAAAACTAGCCATTTGGATACAGAATGAGTTTGAAGGTAGAAGACAGAGGGTGGTAGTGGAGGGTTACTTTTCATGCTGGAGGCCTGTGACCAGTGGAGCGCCACAAGGATCGGTGCTGGGCCCACTGCTTTTTGTCATTTATGTAAATTATTTGGATGTGCACATAGGAGGTATGGTTAGTAGGTTTGCAGATGACATTAAAATTGGAGGTGTATTGGACAGCAAAGAAGTACCTAGAGTACAACAGGACATTGATCAGATGGGCCAATAGGCCGATGAGTGGCAGTTGGACTTTAATGTAGATAAATGTGAGGTGCTGCATTTTGGAAAGGTAAATCAGGGCAGGACTTACACACTTAATGGTGAGGTCCCGGGGAGTGTTGCTGAACAAAAAGACCTTGGAGTGCAGGTTCACTGTTCCTTGACAGTGGAGTCACAGTTAGATAGGATAGTGAAGAAGGTGTTTGGTATGCTTGCCTTTATTGGTCAGTGCATTGAGTATGGGAGTTGGGAGGTCATGTTGCGGCTGTACAGGACATCAGTTAGGCCACTTTTAGAATACTGTGTGCAATTCTGGTCTCCCTGCTACAGGAACAATGTTGCAAAACTTGAAAAGGTTCAGAAAAGATTTACAAGGATGTTGACAGGGTTGGAGGGTTTGAGCTATAGGGAGAGGCTGAATAGGCTGGGGCTATTTTTCCTTTGATCTTTTGCTTATAAATGCTGTGCCTGATGCGACCACTCTCACTGACAGCTGAAGAAGAAGCGACACTCCAAAAGCTTGTGTCTTCAAATAAAACTGTTGGGCTCTCTCCTGGTGTCGGGTGATTTAATTTTACTTTGTCCACCCCAGGCCAACACTGGCACTTCCACATCATGGCTGTTCAACAAGGCAACTCATCACCGCCTCCCCAAGGGCAACTAGGGATGGGCAATAAATGCTGGCCGAGCCAGCTATGCCCCCATCTCATGGGTAAATTGAATAAATATCAGGCTGGCAACATATGGATACAGACTAGTGCAGTCAGATGGAGATAGTTTAGAATGGCATCATGGTTAGTAGAAACATGGTGGGCCGAAGAGTCTGGACAGTGTTGCCCTTTTCCATGTTCTCTACTTTAAAATGCCTGCTCCATGCTCCAACCCCGGCTTCCAGATCTGTCTACAGGTGGGTTACGTTTCCCTGGGCCCACACCCAGGCTTAACATATCATAGAACATAGAACATAGAACAGTACAGCACAATACAGGCCCTTCGGCCCACAATGTTGTGCCGAACTTTTACCCGAAACCTAAGGTCTATCTAACCTCCAACGCTACCTTATATCGAGCACTGATGTGCACCAAAAATAAACAGACGTATAAAGTCAAACACAGAACAGCTGAGCACTACCTTGCCAGCTCACAGTGCACACACACACCATGTTGTGGTATACACTGTGTGCAGGCTGTGGGCTCGATGGAGTGTGTACAGGCTCTCTTACCTTTCTCTATCCTCTCGGTGAGATGCTTCCTCCTGTTGATCCACCAGCCGATCCCGGGCTTCCTGAAGATCCTGTTGGACCTGCTCCAGCTTCGTCTCCAATTCCTGATTGGTCACTTTCAGCTTCTCCATCTCAGCGATTGTCTCTTTCTGTTCCCTGCACAGAGAGAAAACCAAAGGATCAGACAGACAGGGAGAGAGGGTCACTGACGGAGGGAAGGGTTACTGCAGACATTCATTTCAAGATTTTCTCACACACGAGCACTTCATTCCCAAATTCCAGCCCAGCTCCTATTCCTGCTGTTCAGAGAACATAGAACATAGAACAGTACAGCACAGTACATGCCCTTCAGCCCACGATGTTGTGCGAACTTTTTCCTTAAACCTAATGTCTATCTAACCTCCACCCCTACCTTATACTATCATCCATATGCCTATCGAATAGCCGCTTAAATGCCCCTAATGAGGCCGACTCTACTACCCTCTCTGGCAATGCATTCCACGCCCCTACCACTCTCTGAGCAAAGAACCTACCTCTGACGTCTCCCCTATATCTACCTCCACTCACTTTAAAACTATGCCCCCTCGTAAAAGCTACCTCCACCCTAGGAAAAAGTCTCTGGCTGTCCACTCTATCTATACCTCTGATCATTTTGTACACCTCTATCAAGTTCATCAGGAATTTCCTGAGATTGGGAACCACAGGCACTCACTGTCCCACAGTGAAGCTGGGTCTGAACATTCCCACTGCCCCTGTGTACGGGATATGGACACATTGGGTGGGTGTGTACCCAGTGGGTGGGTGGTGTCCACAGCGAGGGGCTGTCTATGACGTCAAATATTTTATATCGTAAATCTTTGTCGAAATTATTATTTTCTGTGTAGGTATGAGGTTTTGTTGTCAGTGCTACTGGTGCAGTTCTGGATAGTGAGGAAGGTGATCACAGGATACAGCAGGATATAGATCAGTTGGAAAGTTGGGCCCAGAAATGGCAGGTGGAGTTTACTTTGGACAAGAGTCAGGTGATATATTTTGGAAAGTCAAATATAAGAGGAAAGTAAGTTGCAGGCACTTTCGGGACACTGACTTACACGGGGATCTTGGAGTGGAAATGCATAGTTTGCAGAACGTGGTAACACAAATGGATAAGTTGGTGAGGAAGGTGTACGTCATGTTTGTTTTCATTGGTCAGGACATTGAGCATAAACATTGGTAAGTCATATTGCAACTGTATAAAACATTAGTGAGGCCACATTTGGAGTAATGTGGGGAGCTCTGGTCACCACACTATTGGAAGCAGGTGGAGGCTGTGAGAGGGTGAAAGTGAGATTTACCATGATGTTGCCTGGATGAGAGTGCATTACCTGTTGGAAAAGGCTGGACAAACTTGGTTATTTCACGAGAATGTCGGAGCCTGAGGGACGAGCTGATAGAAGTGTATAAAATTATGACAGGTATGGATAGGGTGGGTCGTCAGAATCTTTTCCCCAGCGTGGAAATGTCACATAGTAGGGGGCATAGGTTTAAGGTGAGAGGGGTAGAGTGAGACAACAATACAGAGGTGGTTGGTACCTGGAATGCACAGCCAAGGGAGGTGGTAGAAGCAGATACAATTGCAATATTTAACAGGCATTTGGACTGACACATGACCGTAAACATGAGCGGACTCTGGGTGGTGGATTTCCTTGGGCACCACCAAGAGTGGCTCGGCAGCAGTACTACAGATCGGGCTGGTCACGTCCTAAAGGATGTAGCTGCTAGACTGGGTCTGCAGCAGGTGGTGAGGGAACCAACAAGAGGGAGAAACGCACCTGACCTCATTCTTACCAATCTGCTGCTGCAGACGCATCTGTCTGTGACTGTATTGGTAAGAGTGACCATTGCACAGTCCTTCTTCACATTGAGAACAACTTCCATTGTGTTTTGTGGCACTATCACCGTGCTAAATGGGACAGACTTCGCACAGATCTAGCAACTCAAGACTGGGCATCCATGAGGCGCTGTGGGCCATCAACAGCAGCAGAATTGTACTCCAGAGCACAATCTGTAATCTCATGGCCCGGCATATCCCCCACTCAACCATTACCATCAAGCCAGGGGATCAACCCTGATTCAATGGAGAGTGCAGGAGGGCATGCCAGGAACAGCACCAGACATACCTGAAGATGAGGTATTAACCAGGTGAAACCACCAAAAAGCACTACTTGCACACCAAACAGCGAAAACAGCAAGTGATAGACAGAGCTAAGTGATCCCACAACCAACGGATCAGATCTAAGCTCTGCAGTCCTGCCACATCCGGTCGTGAATGGTGGTGGGCAATTAAACAACTCACTGGAGGAGGAGGCTCCACAAATATCCCCATCCTCAACTTGGAAGAGCCCAGCACATCAGTGCAAAAGATAAGGCTGAAGTTTTCACAGCAATCTTCAGCTAGAAGTACCGAGTAGATGATCCACCTCAGCCTCCTCCAGTGATCCCCAGCATTACAGATACCTGTCTTCAGCCAATTCGATTCACACCACATGATATCAATAAACAGTTGGAGACACTGAGTGCTGCAAAATCTATGGGCCGTGACAACATTCTGGCAATAGTACTGAAGACTTGTGCTGCAGAACCTGCTGCTCCATGAGCCAAGCTGTGCCAGTACAGTCACAACACTGGCGCCTGGAAAATTGCCCATGTATGTTCTGTACATAAATGGCAGGACAAATCCAACCCAGCCAATTACTGCCCCATCAGTCTCCTCTCGATCATCAGTAAAGTGATGGAAGGTGTCAGTAACAGTGCTATCAAGCAGCACCTGCTCAGCAATAACCTGCTCAGTGACGCCCAGTTTGGGTTCCCCCAGGGCCACTCAGCTCCTTACCTCATTACAGCCTTGGTTCAAACATGGACAAAAGAGCTGAATTCCAGAGGTGAGGTGAGAGTGACAGCCCTTGAAGCTACATTTTACTGAGTGTGGCATTACAGAACCTTAGCAAAACTGGAATGAATGGTATCAGGGGGAATTTGTCTGCCGGTTGGAGACATACCTGGCATAAATGAAGATACGGTTGTTGTCTCAGCTCCAGGACATCTCTGCAGGAGTTCCTCAGGGTAGTGCCCTAGGCCCAAAAAGCTTCAGCTGCATCATCAGTGACCTTCCCTCCATCATGAGGTCAGATTTGGGGACTTTCGCTGATGATTTCACAACATTCAGCACCGTTTGTGGCTCCTCAGATACTGAAGCAGTTTATGTTCAAATGCAACAAGATCTGGACAATATCCAGGCTTAGGCGAACAGGTGGCAAGTAACATTTGTGCCACACAAATGCCAAACAATAAACATCTCCAACAAGAGGTGAACTAATTGCTGTGCCTTGACATTCAATGGTGTTACCATCACTGAATCCCCCACTATCAATATTCTTGGGGTTACATTGTCCAGAAACTCAACTGGACTCACCACTTTAACAGAGTGGCTATAACGACAGGGCAGAAGCTGGGAATACTGTGGCGAATAACTCACCTCCTGATTGGCCACGTCCTGTCCAGTATCTACAAGCCAGGAGTCTGGAGTGTGATGGAATACCCCCCACTTGCCTGGATAAGTGCAGCCCCAACAACACTCAAGAAACTTGACACCATCCAGGACAAAGCAGCCGTTTGATTGGCACCGCATCCACAAACACCCACTCCCTCCACCACCAACGCTCAGTAACCTCAGTGTTTACCATCTGCAAGATTCACCAAAGATCCTGAGACACCTAACAAACGCATGAACTCTTCCATCTAGGAGGACGAGGGCAGCTGAGACATGGGAACACCACCTCCTGCAAGTTCCCCTCCAATCCACAACTGTCCTGACTTGGAAATATATCGCCATTGCTTCACTGTCACTGAGTAAATGTTCCAGATTTCACTCTCTAAGGGGTATTGTGGGTTTACCGAAAGCATATAGGTTCACAGAATCCCTACAGTGTGGGAACAGGCCATTCAGCCCAACAAGTCAACACCACCCCTCCGGAGAGCATCCCATTCTGACTCATTCCCCGACCTCTGCATTATCCATGTCTAACCCAAACATACCTGGACACTACGGGCAATTTAGCGTGGCCAATCCACTCTAGTCTGCATATCTTTAGACTGTAGGGGGAAACCGGAGCACCCGGAGGAAACCCACACAAACACAGGGAGAATGTGCAAACTCCACACAGACAGTCACCCGAGGGTGGAATCGAACCTGGGTCCCTGGTGCTGTGAGGCAGCAGTGCTAACCATTGAGTCACTGTGCCGCCGTTATGAGTGAATGAGCGAGAGGATCAAACTCTCAGTGGGACAAGTCACCCTCTTACCCTTCTCTCTCGTCTTGGTGAGCTGCTTCCTCATGTTGATCCACCAGCCGATCCCGAGCTTCCTGAAGATCCTGTTGGACCTGCTGTAGCCTGGTCTCCAGCTCCTGATTGGTCACTTTCAGCTTCTCCATCTCAGCGATTGCCTCTTTCTGTTCCCTGCACAGAGAGAAAACCAATGGATTAGACAGACAGGGAGAGAGGGTCACTGACAGAGGGAAGGGTTACTGCAGATATTCATTTTCAGATTCACTCACTCACTGGCACCTTAATCCCAAATCCCAGCCCAGCTCCCATTCCTGCTGCTCATCAGGAATTTCCTGAGATTGGGAACCACAGGCACTCACTGTCCCACGGTGAGCCTGGGTCTGAATAATCCCACTGCCCCTGTGTATGGGACATGGACACATTGGGTGGGTATGTACCCAGTAGGTGGGTGGTGTCCACAGTGAGCATACACTGGATGGGGGTTTTCAATGTTCACCATCGATAGTGGCTCAGCAGCAGTACTACTGATCGAGCTGGTCATGTCCTAAAGGCCATAGCTGCCAGACTGGGTCTGTAGCAGGTGGTGAGGGAACCAACAAGAGGGAAAAACATATTTGACCTCATCCTTACCAATCTGCCTCCCGCAGTTGCATCTGTCCATGACAGTATCGGTAAGAGTGACCATCGCACAGTTCTTGTGGAGACAAAGTTTCACCTTCACATGGAGAATAACATCCAATATCTTGTATAGCAATACCACCTTGCTAAATGGCTCAGGTTTTGAATAGATCCAGCAACTCAAGACTGGGCATCCATGAGACGCTGTGGGCCATCACCAGCAGCAGAATTGTACTCCAGCACAATCTGTAACCTCATGGCCCGGCATATCCCTTGCTCAACCATTACCATCAGGCCAGGGGATCAACCCTGGTTCAATGAAGAGTGCAGGAGGGTGTGCCAGGAACAGCACTAGGCATACATGAAGATGAGGTACAAACCTTGTGAACTGTTTTTCATCATTTATATAAATGATTTGGATATGAACATGGAAGGTATGGTCAGTAAGTTTGCAAATGACACGAAAATTGAAGGTGTAGTGGACAGTGAAGAAGGTTACCTCAGAGTTCAAAGGGACCTTGATCAGATGGACCAATGGGCTCAGGAATGGCAGATAGAGTTTAATTTAGATAAATGTGGGAAGGCAAATCAGGGCAGGGCTTATACATTTAACGGTAAGGTCCTGGGGAATGTTGCTGAACAAAGAGACCTTGGAGTGCAGGTCCATATTTTTTTGGAAGTAGAGTCATAGTTAGATAGGATAGTGAAGAAGGCATTTGGTATGCTTGCCTTTATTGGTCAGTGCATTGAGTATAGGAGTTGTGAGGTCAAGTTGCGGCTATACAGGACATTGGTTAGACCACTTTTGGAATACTGCATGCAATTCTGGTCTCCCTACCATAGGAAGGATGTTGAAAGTTGAAAGGATTCAGAAAAGATTTACAAGGATGTTGACATGGTTGGAGGGTTTGAGCTATGGGGAGAGGCTGAATAGGTTGGGGCTATTTTCCTTGGAGCGTTGGAGGCTGAGGGGTGACCTTATAGAGGTTTATAAAATCATAAGGGTCATGGATAGAGTGAATAGCCAAGGTGTTTTTCCCAGGGTAGGGGTGTCCAAAACTAGAGGGTAGAGGTTTAAGGTGAGAGGGGAGAGATTTAAAGGGGACCTAAAGGGCAACGTTTTCACACAAAGGATGGTGCATGTATGGAATGAACTGCCAGAGGAAGTGGTGGAGGCTGGTACAATTACAACATTTAAAAAGGCATCTGGATGGGTATATGAATAGGAAGGGTTTAGAGGGATATGGGCCAAATGCTGGCAATTGGGACTAGATTAATTTAGGATATCTGGTTGGCGTGGAGTGAAGAGTCTGTTTCCGTGCTGTACAGCTGTATCATTTAATGACTATATCCGACCAAAATGGGAAATGTTCACTGATGATTGCACAATGTTCAGCATCATTCGCAACTTCTCAGGTACTGAAGCAGTTCATGTTCAATTGCAACGTGATCTGGACAATATCCAGGCTTAAGTTGACATGGGGCAAGTAACATACAGGCCAGGCATTGACCATCTCCAACAAGTGACAATCTAACCATTTCTGAAGAAGGGTCCCGGCCCGAAATGTCAACTTTCCTGCTCCTCTGATGCCGCCTGGCCTGCTGTGTTCCTCCAGCTCCACATTGTGTTATCTCAGACTCCAGCATCTGCAGTTCTTGCTATCTCACAATCTGACCATTGCCCGTTTGATATTCAATGATGTTGCCATCACTGAATCCCCCAATGTCAACATCCTGGGGGTTACCATTGGCCAGAAACTCAACTGGACTCTCCACATAAACCAAGTGGCTACAAGAACAGGTCAGATGCTAGGAATATTGCAGCGAGTAAATCAACTCCTGACCCCTGCACAAAGCCTGTCCACTACCACCAAAGCACAAGTCAGGGGTGTGATGGAATACTCCCCACTTGCCTGGATGGGTACAGCCCCAACAATACTCAGGAAGCTTGACACCATCCAGGGCAAAGAAGCCTGCTTTATTGACACCGCATCCACAAACATCCACTCCCCCCACAAAAGATGCTCAGTAACAGCAGTGTGTACCATCTACAAGATGCACTGCAGAAATTCACCAAAGATCTTCAGACAGCACCTTCCAGACCCACGACCATTTCCATCGAGAAGGATAAAGACAGCAGCTACATGAGAACGCCATCACCTCCAAGGTCCCCTCCAACACAATCACCATCCTGATTTGGAAATATATCGCTGTTCCTTCACTGTCACTGGGTCAAAATCCTGGAATTCCCTCCCTAAGGGCATTGTGGGTTATCCCACAGCAGGTGGACTGCAGCAGTTCAAGAAGGCAGCTCACCACCTTCTCAAAGGCAGTTAGGGATGGGCAATAAATGCTGGGCCGGCCAGCGATGCCGCATCCCACAGGTAAACTGAAAATACATCAGGCTGGTAAAAAACACACACAGACCATGTGCAGTCAGATGGAATTAGTTCAAAATAGCATCATGGTTGGTACAGGCATATGGGGCCAAAGGGCCAGGACAGTGTTGCCCTTTTCCATGTTCTCTGCTTTAAAATGCCTGCTCCATGCTCCAACCCTGGGTTCCAGCTCTGTCTACAGGTGGGTTACATTTCCCTGGACCCACATCCAGGTTTAATATATGGAGCACTGATGTGCACCAAAAATAAATAGACGTATAAAGTCAAACACAGAACAGCTGAGCACTACCTCTCCAGCGCACAGTGCACACACACACCATGTTATGTTAGACACTGTGTGCAGGCTGTGGGCTGGATGGAGTGTGTACTGGCTCTCTTACCCTTCTCTCTCTTCTTGGTGAGCTGCTTCCTTCTGTTGATCCACCAGCTGATCCCGGGCTTCCTGAAGATCCTGTTGGATCTGCTCCAGCTTTGTCTCCAGCTCCTGATTGGTCACTTTCAGCTTCTCCATCTCAGCGATGGCATCTTTCTGTTCCCTGTGCAGAGTGAAAACCAAAGAATCAGACAGACAGGGAGAGAGGGTCACTGACAGAGGGAAGGGTTACTGCAGACATTCATTTTCAGATTCTCAAACTCACTGGCACCTGAATCCCAAATCCCAGCCCTGCTCCCATTCCTGCTGCTCATCAGGAATTTCCTGAGATTGGGAACCACAGGCACTCACTGTCCCACGGTGAGGCTGGGTCTGAACATTCCCACTGCCCCTGGGTACGGGACATGGACACATTGGATGGGTGTGTACCCAACGGGTGGGTGGTGCCCACAGTGAGGGGACTGTCTATGACGTCGTATATTTTATATTGTAAATCTTTGTTGACATTATTATTTTCTGTGTATGCAAGAGGTTTTATTGCCAGTACTACAACATGGAAAGTGGTGGAGATGCAGATAGTGAGGAAGGTGATCACACGATACATCAGGATACAGATCATTTGGCAAAGCTCAGCAGGTCTGGCAGCATCTGTGGAGGAGAAAACAGAGTTAAAGTTTCAGGTCCAGTGATCCTTCCTCAGAACTGATGGTGGCTGGGAAAGCGTCAGTTTATATGCAGAAAATGGGGAGGTGGGTCGAGTAGGGAGTAAACGATAGGATAGAGCCTAAAGAGAGAGAAAGACAGTTGGACAGGCAAAGGAGTTGCTAACGATCAGGCTGCGAGGGTGAATAGTTGTTAATGGGTCTGTTAGTGACTAACAACAGGGGGTGTGTAGTGGCAGGCTATGTGGTAACAAGGCGTGGGGTAGGGGGCTAGGACATGGGAGAGTTTAGGCCCTAAAATTATTGAACTCAATATTGAGTCCATAGGGCTGCAGGGTCCCCAAGCGGAAAGTGAGGTGTTGTTCTTCCAGCTTGCGTTGAGCTTTGCTGGAACACTGCAGCAAGCCAGAGACAGAGATGTTGGTCAGGGAGCAGGGCGGTGCGTTAAAGTGGCAGGCAACAGGTAGTTCAGGGTCTTTTTTGCGACTATACATCCTCACACCCTGCTTCCTGTAAAGACTCCATCCCATACTCTCATGTTCCTCCGTCTCTGTCGCATTTGTTCAGATGAGGCCAAATTCAACAAGGGAGCCTTCGAAATGTCTACCTTCTTCCTCAACCGAGGATTCCCCAGCACCGTTGTTGATGGGGCCCTCAACCAGGTTCGACCCATCTCCCACACTTCCACCCTCATCCCTTCTCTTCCCTCCTGCAACAGCAATAGGGTTCCCCTTGTCCTTACCTGCCATCCCACCAGCATCCACATCTAGAAGATCATCAGACACCATTTCCGCCACCTTCAGCGAGATGCCACTACCAGATACATATTCACCTTCCCTCTTTTGTCCCCCTTCTGCAGGGACCGTTCCCTTTGGGACACCCTGGCCCAATCTTCCTTTACCCCCAGCATCCCCCCACAGCCCCACGGCACCTTCCCTTGCAACCGGCGAAGGTGCAACACCTGCCCATTTACTTCCTTGCTCCCCACTATCCAAAGACCCAAACATACCTTCCAGGTGATGCAATACTTCACCTGCACTTCCAAAAATCTGGTCTACTGCATTCGCTGCTCACAATGTGGTCTCCTTTACATTGGGGAAACGAAGCGTAGACAGGGTG